ATGTCGATGTCATCGGCATAAGCCAGCAATTACACGCTCTTGTAGTAAAGTTCTGCAGCTCTTATTATCTTCTCCACAATCTGATTAAAGAAATCACATGAAAGGGAGTCACCCTGGCTCGGAGAGGTCTTTCCAAATTCTGATGGAGCTGGTGGTATTGCTCAACGTCATTTTACACAGCCCTATCAGTTTCGAGGGGATGCCAACTTCAGACATCGCGGCGTATTGGCTAGTCGACAAATAGGTGGTGATGTTTTCCAAGATTAGGCGGATCGTGATTAGTTGGTCTATGATGGATTTTCCAGGTCTAAAGCCACACTGATAAGTACCAATCAGTTCGTTGACGTTGGGCTTCAGTCTTCCATGCAATACGCTCCATAAGACCGTGTAATATATGCTTAGAAGGCTGATCCCGCGGATCCTTGTGGATTGGGCAGAGCACACTTAAATTCCAGTCGTCGGATATGTGGACATGCAGCGCTCCCTAGCTGATAAATTTTTCTCAGAGGTGTTTTTGTTCCTCTTACCAATATATATAGAACGATTTTTAGTAGTAACTTCATTCCAGCGCCACCTAATGGAGTTTTCACTCTGTAAATTTTTTTCTTGGGCAAGGACAAATACAACTAAAACAAGTGCGCTCGGGTATAAAAAAGTCTACTTAAATCGGACAATCCGTTCTCGAGTTATGGGCGGTCATACGTACGCAACTTAGTTTTATATATAGACGTTGATCCAAATACTACCTACTATAGTCTGCCTAGTTTGCCATAGTTTGTCTAGCAGTGTGAACAGTCGCTCAATCTTGTTGTCTTGTTCTGTAAGAAGCCCCAGAAACCTTTTCTGGCGTTTCATCCTCATTCTCGAAGAAATATGGGCCATAACACCGCACCAAAGAGTGCATCTGGATGGATGAAACTGGTGCTGGTGTGTTGCCCTTGGATTTTCAGAGCCCCACAATATATAGTTTTGCATGTAAATGCGCTTCATCCGACATCCAAACATTACCAAAAAAATCAATTTGTGTGGCAAATTGTGTAAAACGAATAGCGTATTGTAGTCGTTGTTGGTGGTCTTGCTGTAAGTATCCATTATGATTTTCCAAGAGATTAACTATAACATGCAGAAAGAAAATAGCAATAATATTAAAAAATAAAGAAGTTATACATATGTACGTGTTTAACATTGGTAGGTCTTATTTGGCACACATTGTATATAGAAGATATATAGTATATAGTTAGTGCGAATGTATTAACGTGATACAATTGCAGTATTGGGTGTCGTTAGAGGATATAAATATGCAAACTCTTGTTGTAAAAATTAAAAAACATAAAAAATAACAGCAAATATCTCAAAAACAATGCATGTGCGGCAGGTAAAAGTTATATGCTTAGAATCAGGAGAACATCCCTTAAGTAACTGAGTTCAGTAACAATAAGTTAAAATAAGTTATTTAGCTTTATTCATGCAATATTTTCAAATTACCGATTTCCTGCGACAATAAATCATCTGTTCAAATTCTTTGGACAATATCAAATAATTTTTCGATAGTATTAAATAAACCTTTCTCTTTTTTCGGTTCTGTATAAAGCTTTTTAATTTTTTAATGCACCGTGAAGTATCTTGAGTGGGTATAGCCGCTCTACTCCAAATTTTTTTAACTCCGTTTATAACGATTGAGCAGCTGTCATCTATCGATTTATTGAGATTTCTTGAATGAGGAAACAAAAAATTGCATCGCTTCCTTATTTGTCGGTAAATTTTTTCCGATAACTTTAATTATTGTTTCATCTATTAAAAATCTGATTTTTCTTATATCCATATATTGATTACACCGTGCGGCAAAAACAAAAAAATTTCCAAACACACGAAGCAATCAATATACTCATAAAAGTAGCGGCCAAATTGCGTTTTTAGTCTTTTGTCTGCACAAATCTAGAAAAGTGTTAAAGCGATTGTTTCCGCCGTTGTAGATTAAAATATTTAAGTGAGTAGCAAATCTTGGTTGAAGATGTGGAAAGATATTACGATCTGCTGACCCATCGTTTCATTTGCATTTTGTTTTTATGAAAAAGAAAGGAATATTTATATTTAACGTTCAGTAGTGTAAAATAAAATATCTATTTCTTTTTAAAATTTTTTTTTAATAACAAATGCCTATCTAGCTAAAAAGGGAAGATCGACCACAAACAGACGACATTTAAATAAATGACTTCCGAGAAGAAAAAGCGTTAAAGCGTAGCAAAGTCCTATGTGTTTGGGCAAGGTTTAAATAACATGAAGATTAAAGGTTTTTTTTAGTCTTATATTCCGTTTTAGGTCATAAACAAAAAATTTATTGGGGGCTGCAAAAAATAAAACCAACTTGGTAAATAACGGACACCCTAATACATATATACATATTTACTTAAAGACTCTAGTCGAAGGTAATTATATATAGAGGGCTGGTGAAGCCAAAATAATTAGATTAAAAAAAATCTCAATTTACTTAACTATTCGAAGCGCCCCCACTAGAGGTAAAAAGTGAAGCTGAACTAGAATTTATCGATGGTGCTCTACAATAAGGACACAACTCAAAATTCAAAAAATAAAATCCCTTACTAATGTTAAGTGCTTCATGTATCTAATCCTTGTCTAACCCATGTCCAATCCTAAAGTAAGTAGTAACGATTGCTGAAGTAGGTAGTATGGATTAGACAAGGATGAGAGACATGAAGCAATTAACAGTAGTAATGGTTTTTATTTGCTGAATTTTGAGTTGTGTTGTTTTTGCAGAGGACCATCGATATGTACAAGTTCTGTACACTCACTGAGCAACTTATTGTGCTATTTTAAAATAATTTACTTGATAATGCCTTTAGAATGAAATTTCAAAGTTTTCTTATTAACCCCATTTAAATTTCAGTCTCTTGTTTCCTTTTCGCTTCCTATTTCGAATAAAAAATATTTTAAAATTTTCGGCAGTCCTTATATTTTTTGTCATATTGTACATATGTACATATCGCTCGTTTAATAATATAACGAAGTATTTCATAATTTCAATTTTGTGGGAAAACGCAATCAAAGTTTTATCAATTCAAGTTGGTATACAAAAACAGATGGAAAGGCACATATCTTCGCCAGATTTGGGAAGTTTGGTTATCTGTTAGACTGAGCATATTCTACTTATCAAGCTTATTTATTGCATAATGATATCTCCAAAAATGTAAATTTTGAGGTGCATCTCTATATTATTCAGCCCTATTCTGCATTTCGACTCGAATCGAAATTTTCTCCGTTTGGCAAGTTTGGTATTCTGCGTTCCGTTTCGTTTCGATCAATCTTCGAAATTTACGATTATACCTATTCTACATTTCGATCGTAGTTCCGTTTTTCTAAGTTGCAAATTTGTTGACGGAGGACGTTTTGATTGTTATTTTCGTGGGTTTAAATAATAAAATTTTATAAAAAATTTAAGTAAAATATACGGTGCATGATTGTAAAAGTCATCATAAATGAATTTTCTCGATTTCTGTGTTTTCGCGAGCGGTAATACGGGCAACACGAAAAATTGGCTCGAATAATGGCAACCAAAAGGGATATTGCGCGACGTTTTCAAAGTGGAAGTCCAGGCGTTTTTGTTTACATTATCTATAAATAAGACTGTGAAATGCACTGAATACAATTTATTCTTTTTATATAAAATTAATAGATGTATGCACATAGATACATACATACTAGGGCTGTGCGACTATTCGATTACTCGAGCAAGTTGGTTAATCAATTATTCGGTTAATCAATTACTCGAGTAATCAAGATTTTGATTACTCAAAACGATGATTAATCGAGTTACTCGAAATATGATTACTCAAAAAAAATAACTTTGCTCGTTAAAAGAGTTTCCTTTGGAAAATGCTTATTTTCTTTTTTACATTCTGTATATGAACAAATTTTTCGTTTACATTTTTGAAAACAGAAACGTTGTTTTCAAAGCATCAAGGAACTTTAACTTCTTTATACATATGTAAAGAGTTGAAATGTTGATTACTCATTTTACTCGAAATGTTGATTAATCATAAAGCAAATTACTCAAATATTTTTGTTTTTGGTTAATCAAAAATCTTGATTACTCGAGTAACTGAACTTTTGAGTAATCATAATTTCCAATTAATCGAATAATTGAGTTATTTACTTTATGATTAATTAAAATTTTGAGTAATCAATTAATCGCACAGCCCTAATACATACATAAAATGTGAAGTTACATAAAAAAATATGCTTTTATTATTGCACTCGTTTTTACTAACTTTTTAAAAAGAGGTGCGTATGTTGTCTCGAATTCGATTTGCTATGGAAAGATAAGCTGTTTTCTTTCCCTCCTCCTGACGGCTTTCAAAACCGGATTCATTTGCGTTCAAATCTTCCACTCTATAGTAAATGCAAATGTTGTGGAGTGCTCAAACAACGTTTATAATTTCACTGACTTTGAGCGATGAGTAATGCAGTTCGAGATGAATTTTTTATGACTCTTCACTTATCTGAAAAAGATCAAACATGTCCCTAAATCTCCGCCTTTCAACTTCCGCATGAGCAATCTGGGACTCGTTCTTCTCTTCAAGCAATAACGCCGCGGCTACGGATTTCATTCTTATAATTATGTTTCCACTTAAATTTTATTTTTAAATTACAGTGATGCTAGATTTATTTATTTATTTTAAAATATTTACAAACTTTAACTTCATATGCTGCAATAGTTTGGTGGCAAAAATTTCTTTGTTTTGTTTCGATTACACACATTCCTAGGCAAACAGCTGATTTCGAAAGATGTTTTTTCTCCTCCTCTTCTTCTTTCGTTTCGATCGTAACTCAGAATACCTAAGTTCGATTCCAGCGGAGCGGAATGCGGGAACGTAATCGAAATGCAGAATAGGGCTGATTAAACATGCCATATGTACTTATTTTTCAGAAATAATTAGATCGTCCTAAGGTTTTAATATGCCTTTTCTGTTTTTGTAATCCACAGACGCGGTCTTACTCCTCCACATCGCGTAAAATCAATATCCATGGCCACATTCACACAAGATGACGTCGATTACTTGAAAAGTCATGGAAATGATGAATGCGCTAAAACCTGGTTGGGCCTTTGGGACCCAAAGCGAGCCGGGCATCAAGATCAGCGCGAATTGATGATTGACAAATATGAGCGAAAACGATACTATCTGGAGCCAGCTAGTCCGCTAAAATCGTTGACGAATTCAGTCACTCTTAAGACGGGTTTAATGGCAGGAGTTGGAGCAGAAGTACCTACGACATCTAGAGCAGTAGCGGCTGTGGCAGCAGGGGCGGCATCTAAAATAGCATCAAATGACAGCAGTTCATATAAGAACAATATTGATGATCATATTGACTTGGTGAAGGCGGGAAATGGCTCCGGGAAAAATGAGCAAAGCACTAGAAATCAGTACCGTCAACAAAATACAAATGCAGAGCGAAGTTTCCAGCTGACGCCGCCTAGCACGCAGCGTACCACTATGAATGGCTTGCACAAGGTAGTTACTGGGGAAACGGGTTCAACAGGCGGCTCGGCAACAACAGTGACAGCAATAAGTCGGCCGCAACAGCAACATCAGCAAAATGATTATAATCATCTTCAAAATGCGTTTATGCAACTATGCAATAACAACAAAAACAATAACGTCAGTAACAGCAATCGCAATGAGTTGAATGTTTTGCATATGACAACAAGTAGAATGTCGGAGGGCAGCAGTGCGACGAGTATGAACGGGTTTGGTGTGGACACCGATTTCGTTGCAGATTTTGGTTCCGCGAATATTTTCGATGCCACAACGTCGAACAGCAGTAAAATGAGTTCGCCACCAAAAATGAATATAGGCGGCAGTACGATAACTAGCAACGGGTATGCTAAAATAAAACCGCTGAAGAAACAGCAGCAGAAACAAAAACATCAGCTGTTGAAAGGCCCTGGGCAAACGAATGGAAACATGTCTCAAAGTAATTCCATTGGCAATGGCACTTCCGCGAATTTTGCAGACTTTGATCATGCGCCCATTTTCAATGCGGGCGGTAAGTAGAATGTGATACATACATATACAGTTAGGTGCAAAATTGAGTCAATAATAAAAAAAAATCGCAATTTATGCGTTTTTCGGTAGTTCTTTGGCAACATTTTAATGATTTTTTTTATATACATATATAAGAGTATAGTTTAAAGCACTAGAATCCACCATAAAAATATCAAATTTCGCTAACGTATATGCACTTCATCGATTTTTGTAAATCAACACATTGACTAAATTTTGCACCCATATAATTTATAAGAGAGATTGCCACGCTGCAACGCGCAACTCGTTTCCTCCGTTGAAGTGTCGGCTTTTGTTATAAATGAGTCAGTTTGTTTTTTGTTATTAAAATACCATGAGATGCGTTTTGGAAAATAAAAATAGTACTGAAAAAGCTAT